TAAATTTTTTATTTGTTTTTAATTTAAATCATTTGTTTATTTCTATTAAGTCAAAATAATAGAAAAATAATATTTTAACCATTATAGAGTTACGAAAAATGTCTAAAATATTTTTTTTTATTGAGTTTAATGACTAAATATAATTTTTCTATCATTTTTACTTAACGAAAATAGATAGATAGTTTAAATTGAAAAAATTACAGATTTTTTTTTTTTAAAGTTCAAATTCTATAAATTTATAAATATTTTTTTAAAATTAATGTAAAATGATAAATAAACTAGGGCCGTGTGCGGTGCGATTCAAACGTTTTAAAAGTGAAATTATAAATCAACCCGTGAATGGTGGATTAGCAAATAAACAAATTGCAGTTTGGGACGATTTCAATTTGCTAGGTGATTGAAAAATATTCTTAACCAATTATCAAGTATTTGTATTATATATAACACTAATTTCATAATATTTTTCATACATATAATACAAATTAGTTTTACATAATATTTTTCAGGATGAAACGATTTTAAAAGTGTATTATAAATTTTAAAATTTAATTTGTAATTAGTGAAAAAATCAATGCAAATTGATACAAATTAATATGATTTTAGTGAATTGGAGGATAGATTTGCATAGCCTTAAAATAAACTCACTCCAATCAATGGGCATCCATGAATCATGATAGTGAATTGACTTCTTGCTTGTTGAATGAAAAATGGTTTAGACCACTAAAAGAGAAACACTAAACAAGTATTAATTTGTCCTTTTGCTCTTTATATTGTCTTTTTCCTTTTTTTTTATTTTTTTATTTTTTTGGGTGTATGCCAGCTCAGTAGAGCTGCATTTAGAGCAGCTCTACTAGTGATCTGTATCACCACTGTTGTTGAATTGATTTTTTTAAGGGAGCAACTTGTCTGTAGTCCTTAATCGGATTGGACGGTGCTGTTCGGCCTGTGAGGGCTCATCACAAGTCTCGTTTTGATAATTCAAACCGTTCAATGTGTAGAAATCGTCGAGTACTATATACCTGTAAAAAATTACATTGATCGGATATTGATAGCTATCTCATCATATTAGTTTTTTGTCAACTATTAATTTGTTCACCGTCCATTTTTTTATATACAAAACTAATTTGATCACATAACTATCGATATCTGATTAACATGATTTTTTACAGGCATATAGTATTCGACGAGTTTTACACATTTAATGGTTCGGATTATCAAAACAGGACCCGTGGTGGGCCTCTACGGGTCGAACAACATCGCCTAATCTGATTAAGAATCGGAGACAAGCTGCTCCTTTTTTTAAAATTTATTTATTTTGTAAAAAATTTAATAAACACACTCTTAAAAGTGTATATTATATAAATTTCTAATTATGTGATTTTCTGTTTTAGTTATGACGTTATTTTAATTATAACTCATGAAATTTTTAATCATATCTCATGTTATATTTATTTATAATTTTCTTTAGTTATAACTCAAAAAATATAAAATTATATCATTTTTTTTCTTTATAATTATAAGTTACATTACCATAGTATTTTTCTTTTATTTTAAGATATGTAATAAAAATTCTAAGCAAGTACCATCACGTGGCATAGTATTATGGATTGTGCATGTGCTTTGCAACGATCCACTGCATTTCAACTCTTTGATTATCAGAATGATGGCATTCTGACTTATTTTGGGAAGTGGGTTATAATCCACTTCTCAGATTATAACCCATTTTCTCTCTCACAAAAAATTACTTATAAACTGTTTATGAGCAGCTTTTCACCAAAAAGTTGATTATATCATAACGTTAATTAAAAACTCTTTATCACTTCCAAATATATTCCAAAAAAATAAAATAAAATCAATTCAATGAACTTTAGCTTGAATATAAAAATACACTTCTTAAGATACATTTTTTACAAAAGAGTTGTAAAAAAAAAAAAAATTAGCAACCCATATAACAATCTACCACTTGGCAGAGTAAGAAAACTTTTGAATTTTTTTGCAAACCTCAAAACCAAATTATTGTATATAGAAGTTATATAGAAAATCTAATATATATTTTTTAATTACAGCAGTCTCATGCTAAACAAAGACATTATTATTATTATTATTTTCATGCTTTAATTTGTATTTTCCACCTCTTTGTTGCCCCAATTTAAAATTCTTTCTTGACCCAAAACAAAAACTATTGGATAGAGAAGAAAAAATTGAAATATCTTAGAAAGTATCAACTAAATGGAAATGGACATATAGACACAAGCAAACTCAATCATTCATGAAAGAGAAAATAGGATAAGATATTAAAGGCCTTTAATGTAAGTCAAGAAAATTGGCTGTAACAAGGGACTCAGTGTGGTCCATGTCTGTCTTCTTATTATAATAAGTCTTCAACACGTGAAAAAACCCATAAATAAATAAATAAATAAATAAATTTGAGTTGGTGTTAACAATTACCTTAAAAGTATTAAATGACAAAATTTAATATAAATATATATATATATTTTTTATGACAGGTACTGAGAAAATAATTGCACAATTATTTTAAATCCAAAACAATTTGCCTTTATACTATCAATTGACAAAATTCATAAATTTGAAGTTGCTTGAGTCAATTGGGAGATGCAGTGTCACAAGTGTTAGGTGGATGATTAGTATAACATGATATTAGATATCACTATGATACTATGCGGTACTATAATAAAATAAGCTTGACTTTGGTGCGGTTTATGAAAATTTTAAATTAAATTTAAATAATTTATTTCTTGACTCGATTCGTTTGTAGCCGTGCTCAATATTTTGTTGTGTAAAATGGAGGGGCCTCACCCCGTGATTGGGACTCCCACATTGATCTCTTTGAAACATGGCCTGTTGGGTTGGGAACCACATTGGAATTCAGTCAATTGAAAAGCCTGCTATTATGATGATATTTGGGCCCAATACTATGACCATTTTGACAAAATATATACTTTTTCCGTCATAAAATAATGATTCTTTTTAGAAAATTTAACTTTTTTTTTTTGATATTATAATTATTATATTTTTAAAATATTAATTTTCTAAAATTAGCTGTTGATAGTATATTTTTTAAGAATATCAATTGTTATAATTATATTTTTTGTGTTATTAATGAATTTAAAAGAAAGATAAAATAGTAAATTCATATTATTTTATTCATTAATTTTAAAAAGAAACTAATATTTTGAAATAATATAAAATAAAATAAAATAAAAAATTAATATTTTAGAACGAATGGAATACATATTAAAAAAATACAAAAATTTGTATTAAAAGTAGTGGAGCCACAATTAATGGGCTTTTCAAAAGAAACCTATTGGCTGTTATGGTTAATATTGTCTTCTTTTACTTCCTCCAATAGGACTAGTTACTAGTGTTGTAACAAAATTTTTACAAACAAGCTACATTTTTTTTTTTGGGTGAACAGATTGAAGACAAACTAGCTACATTAAGAACAATTAGGAGGCTCTTTTAACAATTTATATAAATAAATAAGTAAAATAAAAAGTAACATTGAAACAAATAGATAAAAAAATAGTTCAGTTAAAAGAAATAGTAATCTATTATTATTATTATATATATACTTTAGTTAGTAAAAATAAAGAGTAGCATTAAAATTGTTTTTACCCGTTTATTTTGTTTTAAAAAAATAATAATAATTAATTTCTGAAATTCGAACCCACACACAGTGTTAAGGTGGATGAAATACTTATCATGGCAGATTACAACCTCTAGGCAGAGAACTATAGTATTTTCCTCCTAAATATACTATTTTCTTTCTGAATAGGAAAAGCAAAGTAAAAAACTTCAAGCCTATTTTTTGTCATTTGTTGAGGCTGTATATAGTGTTTATATATATATATATATATATAATTTATTTTAAAGAAACACTTAATAAGCTTAAAAATAGAAAAACTAACAATCAAGAATTTGGAAAACATATTTTTAACAAATTCAACCTAAAAGAATTGCAAAAACAAATTACATAGCCGATTGGTCGAGTTGATTTGTTCAAACCACATTCAATTTGACTCAATTCGCTTAAAACCCATTTACTAATGAAAAATGCTTGAGACTCCCAAAGTGAAGGACCCCGTGACTCCCAAAATAATGTTAACTAATCATGTGTTTTTATTTTTTGTTTTCTCTTTTCTTCTTGGACCAATCACTGGCGAGTGGGGATTCTAGGTGTTGTGTTTTTTTGGAGGTCTGTATTATTGTTTACTAATAGATGGATTTTGATTGAATTTTTTAATGCTAGGCAAGTCCTGACTCTAAACTGAGCTTTTGTATTTTGATTTGAATAATAACCCACTACAGATGCCAAGTTAATTTTTAACTAGGATAACCTCAAATTTCTTGGATAAATAATCCTTGTGGCTTATTTGAGCCGAGCTTGGATCTACTTGAACTCAATTTGATTATAAAATGAAATTAAAATTTGACTCATGATCAGCTAGCAACTCATGAATATTCACGAATAGCAAATAAGCTTAGGTCAAACGAATTTTAAATGAGACGAGCTCGAACTATTCATGAATAGCTTTTGTTTATGTAAAACCCTAAACAAAGGTATAGCTAGAGTGTGAAAAGGGGAGAGCTACCTTTGTATGGGCAATTTTTCACAAATATAGTAAGTTACTTCATAAAATCGAGTGAGTTTTTGTAAATATACATAAGTTAACTCATAAAAATTTGAGAAATTACAACTTACATATATTTGTGAGAATTTACGCGACTTTATGAGATAACTTATATATATTTGTAACAATTTATGCAAGTGCATATGATATGCACCTTGTATACCCAAACACTTCCCCCTTTGTATATACATAAACATTAGCTACTGTATCCACAACCCACCCTCTTGCAATCTTGTAAAGTTTATGGGGCATGATTATCTCCACCCTTCCCAAACAATTCAACATTTGATCATTATGCAGATGTGACACAAGCTCAAGTTTCTTTCAGTAATCATTCTACCCAGCACAGCACAAAAAACCAAATGCCATTCCTGAAAATGACTAGCCAAATCCATTCCAACTGTCTGCATAAACTACAATATATTTACCTGTGGATGGGTAACTCTTTTACAATGTCCAGCCCCACCATCCACCGAGCAAAAGACTATGTGCCCACAACACCACAACAAAAAGAGGGGTAGGATATGAGACAGACTTTGAAAAATCTATCTCATAGCTTGACCGTGGCAATAAACGATGATATTTTTCATATTCTATATTTTGTTGAAGATACGATATCCTACCTTGTTTGACAAAACTTAAAAAGTGGAAATAGGTTGCATTGCCATAGAATGCCAAGGAAAGATATATAATAAGTGATGATAGGTAGGAGTACAAAAGAGTGTTGGACTTACGACAATTGGGAGTTTTTATGGGCACATGCACTTGGTTAGCCGTCTATGACGGGCCATTTGGTTCGGGCTTGACATGTGGGGGGACATCTGATGAGTGAGTAGGATAGATTACTGCAGCAAGTGATATGGGCATGATGCAAAGTGCTTTAGATTGGAGGTATTGCATCGCAGTCCCAACATCTTCTTCCATGAGCTTAGCTACTTCTTGCTCTATGTCATGATTTGACCATTTATCCCAGGCACTTTGGTTGCATCCACCTTCACTGTCCTCTCCCTATGTATTACAAAAGTGAAGGAACATACACTAAGGCATGTGTAAGGAAATATACCAATTTTTAAGGGCATGGTTAAAATGCTATTCTTTCTCTGTTACCTCAATTGATGACAATGGGACGTCAGCCACAAGTTGGGCCACTGCACCAGCTCCACCCAGCCTACTCATGCTCAGAACCTGCAAAGTAGGCGACAATGAGTAATGGAAAATTGCAAACATGAAAGGAAACAGATAAGAGGGAAAACATATAAGGTGATTGAAATAGGGTAGACTAGAAGGGAGAAGACAAACTGTGCATGCACAACCCCACTCCCCCTCCAATTCAACTAGAATTTTCAACTAAAACCATCCAACGTTACATGAGAAAGATCACTAATAATGCATGATTAAATAGGACCATTTCAGTAATGCAAGCTAGTTTTGCATGGCCTATACAAATTTTGTTACCAACATTAACCCTTGGCATTTAATAGTTAGTGACTTTGCGGAAGAATAGTTGAAGGTAGTAATGACAGCCAAAATTTCATGAAATCTACAACAATATGAGTATAGAAGAGCAAGACTGGGCTGTGAAAGGAATTAAATTATATTCATGAAAGGGTTCAAGGAAAGACAATATTTCTAATGGTTTGACAATTAAATAAACTAGGAGGAAATTGCATATAAGCAAATAAAAAGATCCTCAAGAATACTCCTAAAAATATAAAGTTGAATTTAGTAAAGATAATGATGACATTGGCCATGAAATTGCCACTTTGAACACAATAAGAGACTGTTTTACCTTGACTTGGAGCCTTAAGAATTTCACGTAATCCAGAATTTCATCAAGCATGGCCGCCTTATCCGTCTGCAAAAAGGTTTAATGCATCGATGTTAGTTCAGTGTATAGTCTATTCTATTCATACCCGGTTAATTGAGCTATAGCTTCTTTAAAACAGTGATTAGTCATGCAATAAGCTACAATTTTTCATTCACAATCATATCAAAGGGCATCGAATTGGAAAACATCTAAATTCACCCAGACCTTTAATATACATACGTATTCGACAAAACGCCACGGATGGAAGTTAGAACAAGCAGACTCACACCAGGAGAATGTCCACAAACATTTTAATTATCTATATAGTTTGACAGACATATGTGTCTGTCTCCACAACATTGTGACATTCCAAACACAAGGCGTTCATTAACTAATATTATTTTTAATTATGCGAAAAAAGAAATCATGTTTCTAGTTTGCCGTGGTAATTCATCGACTCCTTGTTTGTTTCATCAATCAAAACAGAGTTTCTTTTGATCATACAGTGATTAACAAACAATTACACAACCACACTTGGTACAAAGAAGACCAAACCCACGTCCAAAAAGGTCAAAGAATTAATCTGACCACAAACGAATTCAGGTCTTCTGTGAGATTGAAGAAGAAAAACTGAAACACCGATGATCTCTTTCATGGTCAGAGGAAGACACAAGTCTAAATACAGGTTGTGATGACCTGAATTACAGAAGAAGGAAACCAAAAAAACACTGAAAGCCTCTTGAGTATTCCTTTGGCAATTATAAAATAACACAGACCTTGTTGCAGCTGGGAACAAGTTCCTGCAAAGCCTTCATCCTTTCTGATATTCTTTCTCTACGCAGCTGTAAAAGAGAAACACAGGCATCAATGAAAAGCAATGAGAAACACCAACCAAACACAGAGCTAAAAACACAAGTGAATGAAGCCAGATTTATATACACGCATATGTTATATGACTAATACATGTTTATTTAATAATTTTTTTTCGCAACAACCCCTCCTGCTACATAACATATCATACCGAGTCCATCTATCGACAGTACATTCTCCACAAACAATTAATTCCAACCAAATATGCTCCTTAAACAGCTTTTGTACTGTATTTAACTCAAATTACCCGCTCAGCAATGCTATGGGGATCTGTGGCTTGTCCCCGACGAGCTCGCACCCTTGGCCGGATGCCAGGTGGCTGTGGCACAGTGATTGTTGTGCTGGGAGTTGGTTGTCCATGAAAAGCCTGCAAAAAAATGCACAAGCCAGTGGTAATTACAACCCCATAATTAAAATTCAGATTGTAAATCCCACAACTTAAATGGTAAGCCTTGGCAGCACCACAGGTTCAAAACACGGAATCAGACTCTCTATACATCTAAGTTCTAATCCAGACTCCACAGTGATGGAACCTAGTGACTGGGCTGCCTTTTTTTTAATTGTAAACAGTAGAGCAGAGCTGGCTTTGTGAGACAAGGTCACCTTTTAATTTCATATTGAAACACCAAATGGGTAAAGATTGTGTTAATGGAAATTCAAGAAATGGGGTTTCACCACAATGATCATGTAGCTATTGTGGTGAAGAGCTCTTCCTCATATTAGTCAATCCCTACGTGTTGAATCTTTGTTTCAAAGGATCCTAAGATGGGTCAGACATCCAAATAGCTCAATTTTCATGGTTTCAATTCAAGTATCAAGGACAACTCAACTGCCGCTATAAATATATGGGGAGATTCCATGTCAGTGGAATTTTCAAAATTTAATTACATATTCATGAAAAATTTATGATTTTACTTTTTAACATTTATAAATTTTACTACTAACAAGAAAATATTTTTCTAAATCTACACTGAAATGAAATTAACCCAATATTTCATATGAAACAGAGTATGAAAGGAAAGGATGAGTAGTAATATGAACCTGAGGAACGGCTTGGCGGACCGAGTGAGGCTGCAAATGCTGAAACGCCGGAAACAAACTAGCCATGTTCACAGACTCTCTCTCCTGCAAAACACCCCCCCCCCAAAGAGAGACTCAATTACCCTCAACCCTAACCCTAAATTTGCACAAACCACAAGGGTAAAAGGGTAAATTCAACACTTACATTCTTCACTGAAAAAGCTCCACCGCCGCCACTGAGGTCATCTCGGCCGTTGTCCAGGCTCAAACCCAACGGAACAAACTGCTGCTGGAAGCCACTTCTGCCAGCGGCAGCGGCGGCGGCGGCGGCGGAGGCGGAGTTGAGCTGTGACGGAGTGGTTTCGGCTCCGGCGAGGCCAGCGTAAGAAGGGATAGAGAGGATTTGGTCGAGGAATTCGTCGGAGTAACCCTCCGACGGGTTGGTGGCCATGCCGGAGATGGGAAGTTTCCGGCTAGAGGAAGTAGCTGGGTTAACGCGGAGAAGAGAGAGAGAGAGAGAGAGAGTGGTGTCGGAAACAGAGGAGACAGAGAGGGTTAGGGTTTCAGGCTAGTGCTCTGCTCTGACAAGGCTGTGTATCGTTTCTGAATGTTTCTGACAAAAGTATAATTTTTTAGAGCAACAAAGGCCGTGTTTGCTTGGTGGAAAATTATGGACTATTCCTCGCTTGGTATACTTCTTTTTTTTTTTTTTTTAAATATAATTAAAAATTAATAATAAAAAAATTAAAAATTAAAAACATCCTTTTAATTTTTAAATAATTTTAACTTGAATCAAATAATTTGATAAATTAAGGCCTCGTTTGGGAACAGGCTAATTTAGTAACTTTTTGACTATTTGGCTAAAAAGATAGGTAAAAAAAACTTATATGTTTGGGATGATTTTTTGGCTAATTACGAAAAGATGTGCAAAAAGTAGAGAGAAAATAGAATCTTTGACTTTTTGGTATGAGTTGTTGGCTTTTTGACTAATTTAGTAACTTTTTGACTAATTGACTAAAAAGGTAAGTCCCCAAACGGGACCTATGATAAGTTATAATGCGTTGTAGAAGCTGTAATAAACAGTTTTAAAAACAAATAATAAACAATTCAAAAAATAAGTACAAAAAATTAAAGTGATATGCTTAGGTATTTTGACTTTCTTTACTATTTTAGGTCTCGTTTGAGGAGTAATTATTTTAGTTAAAAAGTTAAAAAATTACTATGATGTGTTTTGAAAAGATGGTTAAAAATTATTTTTTTGACTTTTTTTAACTTTTTTGTGAGAGAGGGAAGTGGGTTAAAAGTTGAGATGTGGCTTTTAAGCCACTTCCCAAAATAACCTAAAAGTTATTATATCACTCTCTATATTTTTTTCACATCTTTTTATAAAAAATCAAAAAATTACTAGAATAACTTGTTCCTAAACGAGGCTTACCCGCCCCCCAAAAAAAAAACAAAACAAAACAACCAGCATGCCAACCAAAGAACATACTAACGGGTTGTTTGGGATTTGTTTATTTAGTGCACTTTTTGAATTTTTATGAGAAATTATGTATAAAAAAGTAAAAATGTGATGTAACCTAAATAAATATACTTATCAAATAAGTATACTTATTTAGATTATCCTAAACAACTACTAACTATTTTATTTGGTTTTATAATCTATTACAAAAAAGGCGGATAGAAAAATAGAAAAAATAATTGACTTTTTGATAGTAACTATGTTTTCAAACCTGCCATAAAATAGTTAAAAAATGACTACCAATATGTTAATTATTGTTTTTATTTTTTTACAAAGGTTAAAATAAATTTATTTGGTACACAATTAATTTTTTATTTTTATTTTTATAATGACTTGTTTGGTTTTTGCTAAAGAAATTACAGCTACACAATTAATTGTTTGGTTTTTGTTAAAGAAATTACAGCTACATAATGACTTGTTTGGTTTTTGTTAAAGTGATTTATCCATTAAATTTGATGTTGCCCGAATCACCCGCACTTGTGCCAATCGGACGACTGACTTCACTTCGTCTATTATAGTTGTCATCCTATCATCCAAACCACCGACTGGCCAACCAACATCAACAAATATACATAAAACCAAATTCGGTGGATAACATTGCCCATAAGGAAAAAAAAGGTTTGGTTTCAATTCAACTGATTTGATGATAACAACAAGAAAAAATTACTTTTTTAACAAAAGGCAGAAAAGCTAGTACTTCACTTGATAAGTGTTAAAAAAGATTCACTTTTTTCTACTTTTCTGTTGTTAAACTTTTGTGCTATAACACATGTTTTAAGAAAAATTATTTAATTTACATAATTGAGAATTATGTTTTCTATTACAGTGTGTAATTAAATAATCTTTTTTTAATTAAAAAAAATGAGTAACTGTTATTATGAGGATTGTGATAATTTCCATTAGATATTTGTAACGGTTTTTTTTTTTCTATTTTATAGCTATTAGATATACCATAGAAATCTTCAATTATAAACATATAGCAATGATGGATTTAGGGGGGTTAGGGGCGGTCATATCCCAAAAATTTTAAAAATATTATATATTATATTAAAATTTTTAAAATTATAAGCGTTCGTATTTTTAATTTTTTTTAAATAATTTCAAAATTATATAAAGTAGCCTCCTAAAATCATAATCCTAGATCTGTCACTATATAATAGTGAGGATTAAAACTCTCTATTGTTGATAAACCATGTACTTATTTTATTAAAAAATTCATATTTCTTTAGAAATGTGAGATTCTCACACAATCTCTTGTTCTAATCTCGTTATGGCTCTGCCCCGTTTGGTAGAGTTGTGGGAAAGTGATTATAACTTATACCTTAACAGCTTATAGCTTATAACTGTGAATATAAGTTGATTTTTGACTTATAAATTAAGTTTCTCCTCCCCCACTCAAAGAATAAGTTGATTTTTTACTTACAAAAAGGTATAAGCTGTATTGTTAAGCTGAACCAAATACATCAAAATAGTTTAAATTAAGTTAAAAACTAAAATAAGCTGGAAATAAGCCCTACCAAACAGGGCCTTTGTTTGGAAAGCCAACTTTTGGACTTTTTTTGGGCTAAAATAGTCATAAAAAATAAAATAAGTTTTTTAATCCAGTAAGACAAAACATCACATTCAACCCATGATCATTACATTCTTTCTTTCACAAAAAAGTCAAAAAAATCAAAAAAACCAAAAATTCTTTCCAAACCAACTTTTTAGCCTCAGACTAAAATAGTTAAAAAAACTAAAATATCAACCCACTTCCCAAACGAATCCATATGCCTTATTATTCAAAAAAAATAAAAAAATAAAATAAAATTATCTCATTATGCATCGGAAGCTAATTAGGGAGGAAATCATATTACCCACATCTCAAGTCGTTGCTTAGACAAAAAATTGCCTCATCTCAATACAAAGTTTTACCCCACACTTCAAAGTACATTTTGTATTCATATTAAAGGGGATTGTCAATGTAGGCAATAATAATAGTAAGAGCATCCCATCTCTTCTATTATATTTCCTCCTTACTAAAATTAAGGAACTTTTCTGTCAAAATACATTTTTATTAGTTCCCTGTTCAACCCTCTAAATATAAGCATTGTTACAGTGACTCCCTATTTGTAAGGAGTCACTGTAGCTTCCTTATATTTGATAAATTCTTATTTTATTTCGCGAAGGATGCTCTCTCGGACGTCTCCCGGACAGTCCTAGATGTCCCGTGAGAGTCCTAGAGTTAAAGAAAAAAAATGTCTAAAATTAGCTTAATCGGTCCACTACCTAGTTGTCCAGCCGGTCGATCACCCGGTCAACCGCCCCTTTGCATTCCTCGGCTAGTTCCTGCTATGTTGTTGTGTTGTTGCATTTGTGTTTTATTATTTTATTATTAAAAAATATTTAAATTTAAAGTAATTAAAAATATTATTTTAATAGAATATAGAAAGAATAGAGAGTTTGTTGCGAGAAATAGATGCAAAAGTAATTCCTAAAATAGAGAATAAATTTTTTAATGATATTTTAGAGTAAAATTTAGATAGTCTCATAAGGATGCTCGAAGTTCAGTAATCAAATATAAAGGAACTCCATATCTAAATTATTTCGTTACAAAATCATGCAGCTATACACACAAAAAGTTCCTCATCAATTAGCATGAATCATGCTCACCTTCCATTTACTTGACGAGGTGATAGTCCATCCTCTGAGATATCAAGAAAAAGATCATCACTCTTGCACAATGCATAAACAATGTCCACCATACTAGGCCTCTTGGAAGGATCTCTATGCAAACAAGCAATCGCGACAACCATTACATTCATAACACTCTCCATTGAACAAGACACTTCATTTAGAAGAAAACCATCCATCCAACCCTTCAAATTCTTCTCTTTTCTATTTTCATTTCCATCCAAAACTCCTTTGACACTCATCCAGAGGAGGTTCCCTTTTTCATCCTTGGCTTTCCTTCCCGAAACAAGCTCAAGCAAAACCACCCCAAATGAGAAAACATCCATTTTAGTAGAAACCAATCCATCGGCTAAGTATTCAGGGGCAATATAGCCTCGAGTTCCGACAATGTGCATTGTTATGGCATTGCAACCGGACTTTGCTAGTCCAAAATTGGCAATCTTGGCTCTTTTGTTTGCATCTAACAAAATGTTGGTGCTTTTGATGTCTTTGTGAACTACCCTTGGCCTCGTGTGCTCGTGAATGTATTGGAGACCGTTGGCTACATCAATGGCAATTCTTAACCTTGTTTTCCAATTTAATTTCTCATTGTGTTCATGCAACCATGAATGAAGAGATCCATTTTCAAAGTACTCGTAGACTAGGTAACAATTTGCATCTTCAGGGTCTATGCAGAATCCTTCTAGCTTCACCAAATTGCCATGGTTTACCTTCAAATGGAAAATAGCATGTTTTATTAGTAATTAATTTGTTTCATACTAAAAGTATACTGAAGTAACATGGAACACATATTTTTATCAAGATGAGGAATGAGAATAGGAAAATGGGAATGGACTACACTATATTGACTAAAATATAATATGAATATGCGCCTATAGATCACACTATTGGAAGTTACTAAACTTCGAAATGTGAGATGATTTCTTTTCTTAGTAATTCGACATCCAACGAAACATAGTTTATTTCTTCCAATTAGTCAAATAAAATTTTCTTCCAATTAGTCAAATAAAATTTTTTTTACATGAACATTTTAGGCTGGCTTGGTGAGTTAAATTATTGAGGGGTTTTGGGCTTCTAGATGCATTCAAATCCTCATTACTATTTTTTTTATTATTATTAATCCATATACTTCTTTTTTCAATAAAAGTTAGAAGTTAATATGAAAAGATTCCCAAACAAAGAAATATAGGCATTGAGACAATCCACCAGTGTAATTAAACAAAAAAGAATGACCATGTTGGATGTTAAAGGAATGTCCCATTACATCTTAGCACTTAAATTAAGTTCATGTACATTGAATCTTCTAAAGAATGACTTCAAAAACAATCAGTATTTTAAGTTTGTTTTAATATATATTTTTGTAATAAATGCTTGAGACCACTAAAAGTGGTGCTCTAAAAGCACCACTAGTGATGTGACAGTGGACCCACTGCTTGTGTCTTTTTTATTTATTTATTTATTTATTTAAAGTGTTTGTCAACTCATTAGTGGTACTTTAGAGCACCACTTTTAATGGGATGTATCATTGCTGTACGGGGAGGAAATAATTCTCCTCGTATAATCCTGTTGACCAAGTCCACGTTCCTCCGTACGACGTCGCTTTACCACCTGAAAACACAAACGTGAGCTAGCCGGCGGGTGTGTGCCGGAAACCTCTCCGATGCCTAAGTCAGTAAGCTTGACAAATAGACAAAGTTTTATGTTCTCAGAAAGAATTGTGTTCAATTACCTCCTCCAAGGTGGTGCTTGTGAGCTTTTATAGGTTTCGAGTGGCATAATCCTAGTAGGACTTGTATTTCTCCATGCAGAGTCTTCCTAGGATCTATATTCCTAAGGATAATGCTTATCCCTTTACACCCTCCCCCACTGCTTAAACCAAGTGGGATGGTTTTTACCACGGCCGAACTACTATATGACCGAAATAATACTGGCTATGCTGAGCCATAGAGTAGGCCGAACTATCCTCAGTTCGGTTTTCTCCCGTTTAACCATGGTATGCTAAGACCAAGCTTCTGAGTAGCAAGCTCCGACCGATCTAACCATAATACTCCGCGACCGGACTAACTTTGGTTATGAACGAACCGTAAGCCCGGACTAACTCCAAGTTACCTCCAGACCGGAGTAGCTTCACACCATCTTGGGCCGAAGCAATTACACCTCTCTTAACCGGAGTAACTATGCTTCTTCTGGGCCGGAATATTATTACGGCCTTTTACTGAGTCCTTCACACTTTGGGCCATAAAGTCCATCTTACAGCTCGGTCAATAAAATTTTCTTCCAATTAGTCAAATAAAATTTTTTTTACATGAACATTTTAGGCTGGCTTGGTGAGTTAAATTATTGAGGGGTTTTGGGCTTCTAGATGCATTCAAATCCTCATTACTATTTTTTTTATTATTATTAATCCATATACTTCTTTTTTCAATAAAAGTTAGAAGTTAATATGAAAAGATTCCCAAACAAAGAAATATAGGCAGTGAGACAATCCACCAGTGTAATTAAACAAAAAAGAATGACAATGTTGGATGTTAAAGGAATGTCCCATTACATCTTAGCACTTAAATTAAGTTCATGTACATTGAATCTTCTAAAGAATGACTTCAAAAACAATCAGTATTTTAAGTTTGTTTTAATATATAATTTTGCAATAATATGCTTGAGACTACTAAAAGTAGTGCTCTAAAAGCACCATTAGTGATGTGACAGTGAACGGGATCCACTGTTTGTGTCTTTTTTTTTTGGGCAAATTACATATACACCCCTCGAGGTTTGGTAAAATTATAGATACCCCCCTGAGGTTTCGGAAATTACATCCCGCCCCCTGAGGTTTGTATTTTCATAACAATTTACCCCCTGAGGTTTATATTTCATAACAAATTACCCCCTAATTTCTTATGTAAATATAGCATTCAGGGGGGAATTTGTAATTTCTCAAACCTCAGGGGGTATTTGTAATTTAGCCAAACCTCGAGGGGTGTATATGTAATTTGCCTTTTTTTTTTATTTAAAGTACTTACCAACTCATTAGTGGTGCTTTAAAACACCACTTTTAGTAGAATGTATCATTACCGATATTTTTAAGTGATATTCACTATTTTGTCTTTAAAAGTCCAAGACTAAACTCTCATATGACTTTAATTATACAATTGTACGTGAGATTTTCATATAATAAATAAGGGCCTGGCTTTGGTCCAGTTTACCATCGAACTGGATCATGCTGTTGGGCCCGTGGGGGCTTACCACGGGTCCTGTTTTGAAAATCTAAACTGTTTAATGTGTAGAACTCGTCAAGTACTATATGCCTGTGAAAAATCACGTTGATTGAATATCGATAACTATGTGATCAAAATAGTTTTTTATCAGCAGTTAATTTATTCACCGTCTATTTTTTTTATTATACAAAACTAATTTGATCACATAGTTATCGATATTCAATCAACGTGATTTTTCATAAATATATAGTACTCGACGAGTTCTACACATTGACCGGTTTAGATTTTCAAAACGGGACCCGTGATGGGTCCTCACGAGCCAAACAGTACAGTCTAGTCCGTCGTGACGGACTGGACCAAAGCCAGACCCAATAAATAAATCTCTGTATAGAGGTCCCTTTCTGGGAGAAATAAAAGGTAGACAGATCTTCATCTTCTTCTACCAAAGAAGAAAAAAATTACGGCCTCTATCATAGAGATTTTTTTTTTTTTTTTTTTTTTACAATTCTATGCTTTGGCATAAATAATAATAATAATACCAATAACAATGCTAATAGGTCCATAATCGCTTACCTCACCCACACAAAATAATAATAACAACAACAATAATAATACTTGTGTAATTAATAGAGTCCATACTTATTATGATTTGAAACGATAAATCCAAAGAAAATGTCATGCCGACCCCACCATTACATTTAATTTTTTAGGTCTAATACCTAAGCCTGGTAGGAATTGGCACAGCAGTGACTGTTGTGCCTCATTTTGTGATACATTATGGATTTATTTTTATAATCTGAACCGTTATGTTGTAATGTTTGTTGAGTACTTCATGCTTACCAAAAATCATATTAATCGGATACGAATAACTATATGATTGATAACAAAAAAAATAAAAAAGAAGTTTTTCTTTTGAAAAATAGTATAAAAATATGCAATTCGATCATATAGTTATTGATATCCGATTAATATGATTTTTGGTAGGTTTTAAGTACTCAACAAATCCTACAAAATTACGGTTCAGATCATAAAAATAAGTCCATAATACATTTCAAAATGAGGCACAAAAGCACAACAGTGATCCCAAATCCAGCATCATTGTATGTTTAAAACCTCATTAATACCTAAGAATAAGATGGACCACATCACCCAAATATTGTTTTATTCACAAATAATCTAATATTTGCAACATGGCAATTTTGTATTTGGTTTATTGCACAGTTATCCCTGTCCTTTTAATATGATTATACTTTCACCTCATGTAATTCTATTTATCGTATCAATTTCCCACATTATTTTTATTGGATTTTTACTCAATTACAACCTTGCCTAAACGCTGAAATATGTATTGAAATTTGAAACTATAGTAGAAAGAGAAATGGGTTGCAAATCATATAGTAAAGAGTGAAAATGCCGCATAATAAACCTATCAAAAGATCAAGAGCTGGTTTAGCATAGTTTAGAAAAGACAAAAAAAGTTAAAAAATTATTAAAAAAAACTAAAAAAGTTATCATTATTCACAAAAAAAATATATATACAAAAAATAAATTTACACCAAAAAAATACAATCCAAAAAGTCATTGACGTGATGGTACATTCTGAACCAAATGGTACAAATTACCTAATCGGCTGTACAAAAAATTTACAAAAAACGGTGTTGTACGGCCCGTGGGGGCCACCACGGGTTCCGTTTTAATAATCGAAACCGTTCAATGTGTAAAACTCGTCAAGTACTATATGCTTGTAAAAAATCACGTTGATTGGATATCGATAACTATGTGATCAAATCAGATTTTTTTTCAGCCGTTTATTTTTTATCGTCCATTTTGTTTTATACAAAACTGATTTGATCACATAGTTATCGATATCCGATCAACGTGATTTTTCACACACATATAGTACTTGATGAGTTCTACACATTGAACGGTTCGGATTATTGAAATGAGACCCGTGGTAAGCCCCTCCAATCCGATGAAGGACTAAAGGAAAGCCTCATCCTATATATATAAACCTGAAACATGTCTGCCCACACACAATTCAAAAGGGTAAAATGATAATTTTGTTATTTTATACAATATTTTAATACATATTTTTTCGTAAAAAATTAAAAAATAATCTCAAACAATCATATTTTTTTCCTCAACTATTTAATCTAAAAAGTCAAAAAGTACTCTAGGATATCCCAACAACCTCTAAGTCTAAGTTTTGTGCGTTATCAGATCAGGATCTACAACTCTCATATAAAAAGTCCTGATTTCAAATCTAAAAATATGAATGTTAAATTGTTTCATTCTTTACTTTCCCTTAAGGTAACTCTTTGAGTTTTTGTCCAGTAACTATCTTATATATGTAAGACAAAAAAAATTACACATTTGGAGGGAGACAAGAAAAAAAATAAAAAATAGAGAGACCAAAATAGTATATACCCAAAAAAATATCTAAAAACTATTCATAATTTGAATTTTTAATGTTAATTTAAACTTTGGCGTGATGTAAATAATATTTAAAATAAATTTGATTGACATATTTCAAATAAAACATGTAGTTTTGAAGTCAATTACCTTCTGCAAGATCTTGAGTTCTTCACAAGCATTCCACTTCATCTTCTTGATAGCATACACCCCTCCATCAATGCAACCTTTGTAAACAGACCGATGAATCATCCATCTCTGATCAAACCCATCAGTTGCTTCTCTCAGTTCTTCAATCTCATATACTCTATACTTATCCAAGCAATCTGACACATTAGCCATCAAACTCACTGTCACCTCCTTCACCAACCCCTTCTCCCTCCTCTTCTTCACAAAAGCCTCTCTATAAGCCCACAACCCACCAACCAAAACCAACAAGACCCCACAAACTCCCAACCCAATTTCCAATCCAATCACATGAACTTTTTGCTCATTCTTCTCAGAAGATGAAGCAAAAACACTAGGCTGTGCTAGCGTAGGAAGCCTTGGAACCGAAACGAAAACAGTTTCGAAAGGCTGGATTTCACCACCATTGATCTCAACTATGGACTGTGTTGTTGAACCAAACCTAGCAGCAATGGAGGGTATTGTGTCTGAAGGTTGAAACACATAGCTGATGAGATAGTTTTCTTGGTTTTGCAATTGGGTTGTGTTTGGACACTTGCAGAAGATTGGAAACACGACTCTTACGCCGATTTTGAGGAGGGTTGGGATGAGATTAGGGTTGACAAATTGGACAGATTGGTATGTGGTGAGGTTTTGGAAGATGTGGGTGGAGAGATAGTAGAAAGTGTCATCTTTTTTGATAGTGTAAGTGAGGTTGGCAAAGGAGAGACTTGTAGTGGTAGAGCCATTGGTGATGGGATTGCAAGAACATGTGAGAGGAATAAAGAGGGGTTGGTGGGGGAGGAGAGGGGTGGTGGGGGAAGAGATGTTGCTAGGGTTTGAGATCATGAGGCGGCTAACGGAGAATAGGTCGCCGATGGAGGCTAGGTCAAGGAAGTCAGGAGACATGGCTGTGAAAAAGGCATAGGTTTGGCATGGATAGGTGGCTGAGGTGGTGGAGTGGTTGTTGTTGTTGGCTGTGCAGGTGTAGCCCGTGGTGTTTGGTGGTGGTGATGGAGGTTGTTGGGCTTCTGAGTGGTGGTGGAAGAGGAAGAGGAAGAGGAAGAGGAGTAGGAGTGACGAGAGGTGGTGGTGGTGGTGTTTGGTTCTCATTTTTTGGTTTGATTTTGAGAATTGTATTAACTTACAATGATATAAGAATAGAAGAAAGTCTTATGGAGTCAAGAATCAAGATGCATTTTTTCTTACTGGTTTGGGATCCTCTTCTCTGTCTCAACTATTTTTTATTTTTATTTTTAGATGGTATCTGTCTTGACTAGTTATTATTCCTCCCTTTTAGTGTTGTTATGTACCCACAATTTAAAAATAAAATTAAAAAATTGTTTCATTTTTTTTTTAAATTTTTGTTTTAATTAAAACAAAGGTGGTTTTTTTTTTTTTTTTTATAAAAATTTCCTTAAAAAAGTTTTCATAAACAAATTTTCAAATGGTATTTTTTTTTTTTATAGAAAAAAATGAAAACACAACAAAGTCATTATTTTTTAATTAGGAAATAATTTACTAATTAAACTTTTGTACAGAAAATTCACCTCCACCAAAATAATATTTTAATGACATTTTTGTAACTTTGATGAGTCACTTTGAGAGATGTGTTTGATTCTCATTTTTTTTTTTCAGAGTTTCAATTTTCACATTACTTTTTTTCTCAGTTTACACCAATTTATCCTTTGGAATGAATGATAATTAATTGTTCAACTATCAATTATAAAATTGAGTTTTTGTTCAATAGTTGGTATTTAAATTATGATTTTTTTTTTTCAATAATTAATATCAGAAAAAAAAATATGAATTAAATATTTTATAGTGTCCAAATAGAAAGCTCCTAATTTTTTATTTTTTATTTTTAATTATTTTGCGGGAATTCAACTTCGAGGTTCATATAAGAACAGAAGGGAGAAAGTAGAAGAAAGTCTCATGTAGAAAGATTCTAGTCAAGATGCTTATGTTCTACCTGACTTGGAATTTTCTATCCCCATTCTATGCAGTTACGTTTGTTTGCACAAAATTAATTTACATAATAAATTTAATTATATTTTATGATTTAATTCTATGCAATTAAATTTTATATTCCAACTCTCTATCATATACTTTTAGTATAGTCATGTCGTCATAATTTAAATCTAATACAAATTTAGTTTTTTTCATTATTAAAAAAAATAATTTTAAATTTAAATTCTGACAATGTGACAATACTAAAAGAACGATTTGAAATCGATCTTTCTATCTTACCGGTCAATATGGATGATAAAAAATCATTATTTGAGTTTATAATTTTGAAAATGTCATTATCTCATATTATTTTGAATGAAAATTTTTAATTAAAATTTATTTATATATTATTATTTTTTTATTTTCTAATGGGTCACCAGTAGAATAATTTCTCGTCAACCATATTTTAGGACATCCAAGCCCACCATAGAAATTGTTTATTAGATTCGGCTGTTTTGGTAAGATAAGACCAGGTGAATGAAACAATATGGATGATTTCACTTGTTGGACAATTTAACAGCCCACGAAAGACAACTTTTCAATACCTCACTATCTATGTCATTGTCCCTAACACTTCTTTATTTTCTTCTATATTTTGATGTAAAATATTTTATATTTTTTTGAATTTTATTTTCTAATATTTGATTGACACTTAGAATAATTTCTTTTATTGTACGCGATGAGTAGAAACTAATGAAAAGCTAGAATTTTCCTTTCAAAATGTGTTGAAAGGGTCAAGCTGAAGGTAAATTTTTTAAAATCGACTTACGAAATTTTTAATAGCAAGTCAATTTAAAAATTAAAAACAATATTTTACAAAACCCTCCAAAGTCCCGGTGAAAGGCGGCCATAACTATTACGGTTACTAAGATGGCGAAATTCCATGTTGAGCAATAACTATTCACATAAGATGTAATGATCTCATACGAAAGGTTGGTTTAATTCACATTTGTCTTTAGCTTTGGAGGAGGCAACAACATACAACAAAATACACAAGATTTTTACATCTGGGCACTTGTGTGGGTGAAAATCTGACCACACTGCCCGCCTAGTAATCAGCTAGAGAGCACCGACAGAATAGATGACTTTAGCAAACCTGTAACAGAAAAAAAAAGGCTCCGGCGGTGGCTCTTCCACCCGGGGGCACTCCGACGGTCAAGTCAGTATATCTCTCAAAGATAATCAAGTGCTAAACTCACAAGCTTAAGCATAAAACTGCGTACCTTTGACTCACGGGGGTGCCTCTCTTTTATAGTGTCCTTAATCCAAGTCCCACTAGAGGCCTGACTTCTATGGACTCCAATTCAATACTGATTTTGGACTCTTCAAGAGATAAAGATAAACTCCCTAACAGTTTTATCCTTATCTTGGCTAAGTCTTCTCTTTACTCCAGGACTCTTGTCCCTTATCCGCTTATCTCAGATTTCGATATCTTCGGAGATCACCTCGGCCTCGCCAAAGATAACCTCGGCATAACTACCACGACACGTGGCACCTCGGCTGACATGTCGGCGTCACCATGCCACGTGTTGGTACTCAGAAAATATATCCCCACAAACAACTGCCCCCTAGGTTCTATTACCATGGCATTCTGAGGTGATGAAACCTATATCGATATCTCTTTCTATGCATTCTTCAGCCGAGATCATTTATTTCAAGCCGACATGTTCTCTTCGGAGAACAAGAATTCCATTGAACTTTCCCACGCGCATGAGCTGTCATGCATCACTTCTTAACCGTTTCTCTTACGCGTCTTTACCTTATTGGTCCGTGTTTGTAACGCGCCTATAAACCACGTTTTTCCTGTGTACGCCGCCTGACGTATGCACTGCTCCAGGCGCATTGATTATCTTTTGTCGCCGTTTTTGATTTTTAACAAAAACTCTTCCTTCTTCTTTCATTTTTTCACTATTGCATTTGCTGTTTCTTTCTCTAAACTCGTTCTTTCGAATCCGCCATTGCTGAAGCTTCCAAGCTCTGTGTTTGTCTTCCTGGTAGAACTTTCGTCGTTCTGCCACATCTGTAACTACTGACTGATTTCGGTTGTCCTCACATCGACTTCATTTTTTCTGGTAAGCAACTGTTCCTTTTGATTTCAATTCTTGACCATTTCTGGAATCTCCTGTTATTACTGCCTTGCTCAAATATCTATTTTGTGAATCATCCATCTTAATGTGTTTACTCTTTGATTTGGCCCTTGCCTATACCTTGAACACACGCACCGTTGCACCACTTCACTGTATTTTTGCCGCTGATCTTGGTCCTTTATTTCTCGTATTTTTCATGTTCTTGATAGCCCATCCCTATTCTTGTTTCTGAAATTTCGCCTTTGTTTTCTGTTTTTTGTGTCTTTGCCAGATCTCTACCTTCAATTTTTACTTTCAATCTTTGCCTTCATAGATTTAGGTTTGGGATTTGTCTATAGAACCTATCAATTCTTAGGAAAAAACTGAAACAATCCTTACCAGCATATACCTAGGGTTTCGCCGAGGTTCCGATAACCCCTTAAAAGCATCTTCTTTCTGAAACCAAGCCCTCTGTCTTTAGGCCGACGTTATGGGTATGTGGAGGCACAGGGTAAACACCCCGACCAAACTTGAGTACTTTAGGCAAGAGTTCTCTATTCCTGCCGATGTTCACCTTAGGCTAGCTGGGGATGATGATTCCATCATGCCTACAGACAATACGATGCCCTTTCCCATTGTAGCCTTTACTAAATGTGGACTTCGGCTTCCACTTAATCCCCTTTTTCGCGAAATTCTTCACTACTATAAATTGAACCCCATGCAACTTACCATCAACTCCTATCGAGTGATTAATGGTATCATAGTCGTAGCTAGGCAGGAGAACGTTAGGATCACCCTTGCCAATATCCAATATTGCTATACCATGTGCGCCCTGAACTTAAAAGAAAAAGGTTTCGTCTATTACCTCAAGCCGAGGTCCACCGAATTCAAAATTGTAGCCGACCTCCCAAACTCCAACAAGGGGGCTGGAGATGACTATTTCATTGCCTCTGGAAATTGAGAGTTTGCCCCAGATGAGGATGTCTATCTATACCCTCTTCTTCGAACAGTTAAAGAGGGCAATGGTAAGAGCCTAGTGTCGATTACTTAGTTGTTTCTTTTTCAAGTCTTCAAACTTTGTCTGTTTCTAATGTTTTGTTCTTCTTGTAGATGTTCGCAAGCCACCAAAGGATTTTCGCCAGTCCTACGTTCCCAGCAAAGACTTAAAGAGGCTCCTAGATTTGCCAATCCAAAAGCGCAAGGCTCCACTGGTACTGAATTTTATTCCGACGTAGAAGTCTACACTGCCCGACGTCCCGAAAAGAAAGAAGAAGAGCTTATCTCCTCCCTCTGCTACCACTCTACAAATCGCATCAACATCTCGGGTTGACCAAGGGTCAACCTCTGATCCAGCCGATTAACCATCAACTTCAGCCTCATACTTAATCCCAATTCCAGAAAGAAAACGTCAGCGACAACTTGTCAAAACTGCTGAGATGGGTCGCCCGAAGCCTGTTACTGTAGATTTCTTAGCCGACCTACCTGCCGATGTTGATGCTGTTCCGACTCAATCCATGCCCCCACCAAAGCCAAAAAGAATCAAAAAGGCCCAGCCCAAGGCCAAAGCTACTGAGGTTGAGGCTGAGGATGCTCTGCCCATCTCAAAATTGGCTGAGAGTAAAAAAACTGCTTCTGCTTCTGCAAAAAGGTCTGCCGAGGCCCAGCCATCGGAGTCCACCCAATCAAAGAAGCCGAGGTCATCGTCTGCGACAACCTCGGGTTCCAGAATACCAAAAGTCCCCTGGACACCTGAAATCACTCTAGAGGATAAGCCTGTCCTTGCCAGCGACAGCGCCGATGATATAAACGTCGGCGTGGCATTCAGTACTGCTCTACTCCTCCCAGGCGATCTTGAGCGGAATGCCAAGATGAGTGAGTATGAGAACTACGCCTTTATACTGCAACGCTCTGTCCAAGTAAGTGTCTTATTGCTGAAATTTATTTTCTCTCTTACTTTGTAAAATTTTGTAACAATTTGTGCCTTGTGTTCTTTCAGGCCATCCAACATGCCCACTCTCTATCCATGCAAGCTTTTGAAAATCGGCAAAGATTGGCCGACATGAAGAGGGAGGTTTCTGCCCTGAAAAAGGAGAACAAAACTCTCGAATCAAAGATAAAAAAACTGGAGGACCAAGCTGAGGCTGCCATCAAAGCCCAAAGTCTAGCCGAGGAAAAAGCCGAATCTGTCGAGGCCATTAAGAAGGTTGCTAAGGCCGAGAAGAGAGA